TTCCAGTGACAAGCTGTTGTACCCCAAAAGGTGTAATTTTGGTCCCTTTTTTTCTACATACATTATTTATGTTATTATGCTCACCAAGCCTGCATTTATTTGATCCAAAGTACAGCAAGAGCAGTAATATTGTGAAATATTTTTACTATTTAAAATTGTTTTATTGTTTTTGTGTTGCTGTCTCTAGCTCCCTCCCTCCCTCCCTGTACAATAAATCCATGTGAATATATGTCTCTGCTACTTTTTAATGTAACTTTACAACCGATATTGATGTCCTTTAGCACAGTATTCTAAATGATTATAATAATGGGGTGCTCCTGATAGCCTAACAGATACTAGCAGTTTATTACTCAACTACGTTAATAAAGACAAAACTATCTAGCGTATTTACAAATGAAACTGACCTGCACTTGAAGCCCTGAACAGGTCAGGGATGTTGCTACATTTCACTGCTTCTTCTGTCCGCTTCCTCTCTTTCATCGAGTCCCGCACATCGGTTCTGTTCGGAATCGTTTGACGGAAGCACGGAACACACGTGAGCTGATTCGGAAATGATAACTTTGGTACATTGAGAAGGCATAAATATAAAATATTAATAATAACTAGATAATAAAGTTTGTAGACAAAATTTAAGTTGGCTTGAAAAAGCATAGCCAGAAAGTTTGTAAAAGTTTTAAAAGCTTGAAGTTTGAAGGTTTTCAGTTTGAAGTAGTTTGAAATACTTGAAATAGTTTTAAAGATTAAAGTTTGAATGTTCTGAAGGCAATACAGTCTATCAGAAGAACAGACATAGAAAAACGAATCGCTAGGGTACCTGGTGTGGCTTCTAGGGTGGTTGCTAGGGTGTTTCTAGGGTATCTGGGGCAGTTGCTAAGGTATTGCTATGTGGTTGCTAGGGTACTTGGGGTGGGTGCTAGGTTGTTGCTCTGCAGTTGCTTAGGCGCCCAGGCTGGTTGCTAGGGTGCTGCTATGCGGTTGCTAGGGTGTTCAGTGTGGTCGTTAGGTTGTTGCTATGCAATTGCTAGGGTATTTAGGGTGGTTGCTAAGAGGATGCTATGCAGTTGCTAGGGTATTCTTGGTGGTTGATAGGGTGTTGCTATGTGGTTACTAGGGTAGCTGGGGTAGTTGCTAAGGTGTTGCTAGGTGGTTACTAGGCTACCTGGGTTGGTTGCTAAGGTGTGGCTATGCAGTTGCTAGGGTACTAAAAGTGGTTGCCAGGGTGTTGCTAAGCTACCTGGGGTGGGTGCTAGGGTGTTGCTATGTGGTTGCTAAGGTGCTCAGGGTGGTTGCTAAGGTGTTGCTAGGTGGTTGCTAGGGTATTCAGGGTCGTTGCTAGGGTGTTACTAGCATGTTGTTAGCATGATTACCAAGTTACCAGCATGTCTCTAGCATTATTAGCATGTTACTAGCATGTTGTAAGCATGATTAGCAAGTTACTAGCATGTTGTTAGCATGATTACTTTATTTTG